CCCCAGTACTGCAAGGAAAAGGAAGAGGAGGGGAAGGGGAAAGAGGGGCAAAAGAAGATTGCTCCTTGAGTTCACGTTACCACTCCTGGTGCTATGACTGGGGACAACTGACAAAGCCTATCTGTGCTCTGCGTTTCTAGAAAATTACAGGAAAATGTTTACCATGAGGTTTAGGGTGTTGAATTCATGTAAGTCAATTGGCACTAGGCCGGAAAGATGATGTATAAGGGGCTGGGGATTTAGCTCAGCGGCAAAAGCGCCTGCCTGGCAAGCGCAAGGTCGTGAGTTCGGTTCCTGGTACCGGAGAAAAACCAAAAACCAAAAAAAAAAAAAAAAAAAAAAAAAAAAGATGATGTATAACATAAGGAGCCTGTTCCTGGCTGTGTATTATCAGGACTCTAAATCTCTTACAGTGGCTCTTTGTATTTATCAGAATTTGCTGACTCAAAAACATCCAGGAAGTTTCACACCTTGGAGGAGGCTATAAATCTCAGTGACCAAGTGAGAGAATGAGAAGTCCGAAGCCAATCCACCTGCACCTACACCTGCGTCTACACCAGCGGAAGAGCAGGTAAGATGCTGACATCCCTTCCAGAAGCCTCTCCAGCTCTGTAGGAGCTCTGTTCTGGGACCAGCAGCCTCTAAGCCTGGGACAGGGAGGGAAAGGAGTCGCTAAAGACTGGTTACTTTTCTTAAAAACCACCACATGATGAATGACTACAGCTAAGCCTGGGCTGGAACAGTTCATCAGATGGCATCCAGATTCTATCAGCCCAGCAGGTTCCCTGGGACCACTACTTGGCTTGTATTGATTTAAGTGCTCAGTACAGTACAGGGGGCTGAACTGAGCTTGGCTTCCTGTTTGTTGACTTTGCAGTGACTGGGGACACAATTAAATCACCAAGGTCCCTGACGGGTTTGCCCAGAACTGCTCCTGCTGCAGCTGAGGAAGGGACAGGGCTGCCCAAACAGTTGTGTGCAGGAGAGGACAGCACAGAAAGGAGATGCAGGTGGCAAGATGTAGCTTATGAAAGCACTGACCTCCTAATCATGCATCTTGGTTTCAAGCTGAATGTCTTCCACCAGGAGTAGTGCAGACTCAGTGATTTCTTAGGGCCCACTCACTCTGTACCGCTCACCTGCAGAACCAGGGCCCTGTACTTTACTCCTCAGCTTCCCCTAATAGAATCTCCTGCAGCACAGAACTAAGGATGGCTTCCTTGCCTGCCTATGCAACCCCATGAACTCAGACAAATTTTCCTGCCTTCAGGAAAGAGAGGGGCTCCAGGATGGGGAGTGGTGAGCAGCAGAGAGGGAGGCACTCTGGATGTTGCTGTCCAGACCCTGGAGTGTGGTAGCCTGGGAAGGACAGGGGTGAGGGAAGTGGGTCCCAGCCTGGAGGGATCAGGGGTGCAGGTTGAGGCCCATTCAGAGAGTAGGGGTAGAGGCTTCAGTGGGAGAGGGGGAGGGGGCTGGAGTGTCTTCTTCCTGGGACAGGATTTGCTGTGTGATGGGGGCAGCTGGACCTGCAGAGGCTCAGTGACTACAGGGACTGTGGGGGCTTCCACGGCAGGGAGGGATTTCGCCCTGGATGAGAGTGGTGGAGGACGGGAACTGCACCTGGGTTCAGTTGTAGGTGAGAGCCATCGGCCTGTGACTGAGCTCAGAGGCTGTCACCTGCTGGCTCCATGTGGCAGCTGAGGGCTGCAGGCCAAGTGGGTCTGGTCTCAGCCAAAAGGCGTAGGCTGCCTGAGACTGTCTGCTGCCCTGCCAAAAAGCTACTGCAGGCTTCCTGGGGTGGATGTGCACAGATGGCATCAGGACCCTGTCTCCACATGTTGTCTGCTAGTGACAGCAGAGACAAGCCTGGAAGTGAAGTTTTATTTTCTTTTCTCTCTTGCCTGGTGTTTGTTGTTGTTTTTGTGGTTGTGGTTGTGGTTTTGTTTTTGTTTTTTTCCCCTTCATTATTTGATCTTGTTTTTGTTGAGTGTGAGCATGGTTTCTAGTCTCTTTGTGGTGGTGGTTCTGTTCTGGTCTTTTTATCTCTTCCTTCTCTCTTTCCATTCAGTCTTCTGCACCAGTTTCCCAAGATTGGCGTGATCCCCTTTGGCCTTCAGCCTTGCTTATAGTCTCTTCCTCTTCTTCTACCTCTCTATTTTTTCCCAACCCCTTTTTAAATTTGAATCCCTGAGGGTAAAGTTGACATCTTAGGGACCTGTGTGTTGCATGTAATTTTCTGGTGTGTTTTAGATTTGTTATGTAACTGTGGGTCTGGATCATACAGCTAAAGGTGGGAAATTAATGGTTGCCTCAGTTTTTTCATTTGTTCCTAGTGCTGTTGCTGATGGTGCCACTTCAGCCAAAAGTGACATGCTTGTTCTGGGTGTCTGTTCTTCCTGATATGCTAAGACTGAAGTTGACTGTGGCTCATGGAAGACACTCTGGTTGGTGCCAGGGAGCTGGTGGCTGGGCTGAGTGGGCAGTGACTTCTCATGTCCTGTAGGTTGGGGAAGTAAGGTCTTGTAAGAGACTCAAACCCAAGGGCCAGTTGCACTTGGGAGATACCTCAGAGGGGTGGTCATTTCCTAAGAGTTCTAGGTGCTAGCAGGGAAGTAGCCCACCAGGGGTGATTTACAGGCATTACCCAAAGAATTAAACTAAAAAAGAAAAGAAAAGAAGAAGACACTTAAACAAGATGCAACCCAAGACATCCAGTTCACCAAAGACAAACCCAGGTGGTAATGAGGTAGGACAATTTGAAAGACACCCATCTGGCCTCTCAGAAGTGGTAACAATGAAGCAATTAAAGAAAGCTCTAGAAAAACCCAAATTAGATATAATTTCTCAAATAACTAAAGAGCTGGTGTCTACATTTAAAACCATGCTTAGTGACTCTAGGGCAGAGACAGATAAACAAAGAGGAGCTTACAAAAATGATACAAACCATGAATGTCCAACATAGGAAAGAAATGGAATCCATGAACAGATTTAAGCAGATATCCAAGAGAATAAAAATTCCACTGAAGTGCATAGTGAAACCCTGTCTCAAAAAGACAAAAAAAAATTTCACTGAAAGTATCTGCAGCAGAATGAGCCAAATGTGAGGACAGAATCTCAGATATACAAGAAAGGCTTGTGGTTAGCAATCATGAACAGAAAGATTTCTTGAAATTAGCAAGGGACCATGAGAAATCAATCCAGCATCTGCTAGATGATGCAAAGAAGAAAAACATAAGATTGATTGGAGTCAATAAGAAAGCAGGAGATAGCACAAATGACATTTTTAAAAAGTGTTCACAGACCTCATGGCAGAAAGCTTCCCTGCTAGGGAAAAAGAAATTGACATACAGTAAGTGAGGCATATAGAACTCCAATAAGCCACAATCAAAAGAAGTCTATAGCCAGCCATATCATAATCAAGATTCTAAAAATTCAACGCAAGAATAGACCTTAAAAGCTGTTAGGAAAAGGAAAACAAATTACCTATAAAGGAAAGCCCATCAGAATTACACCTGACTTCTTAGCAGAAACCCTCAAGTCAAGGAGAGCTCAGAGTAAAGTATTTCAAATTCTAAGGGAAAACAGCCTTCAACCCACATTGATATACCCTGCAAAACTATCTTTCAAAACTGGTGGAGAAATAAGAAACTTCCATGACAAAGAACATCTGAAGAAATTTAGGAGCACCAAACAAGCAAGAAAGAAATTCCTCCCCTGAATTCCTGGGTGGGCTGTAACTCCATTCATCACCTCATGTCTAAATTCTCTCTCCCATGATCAGCTCCTTATGGTCTACCTTGTCCACTCCTTCTCCTCCTCCTCTTCCTATTTCTCCTTCTTCTTCTCTACTAACCAGGGACCAAAATAGCACAAAATTTAAAAGAATATTGCAGAAAATATATTTTCTTTGAGCAAGTACTTAACTAGCTAGCATGATCTGCTTCCTGATTTCCTAATCCTTACTTCATTGTCATTTTTAGCATCATCCAGTATTTGCAAATGTGAACTCACACCTTGCTGAGTTCAGGCTCACTCACTGTGAAGCTCAGGTAGCTCCAGTGATAGGCACTGCCCTTGCCTATGCTCTTTACATGTACTGGGAAAGATCGCTGCCTATGGGCACCCACAGTCAGGTATTTTCATAACAGTAAAAGAAATAACTCCCTTCTGCCAAGGCAGTGTTAGAAATACTGTGCACCCTCATTCCAGTGAAATGAGCCTAACCACTTGGGGTAGGAATAAAGACAACACTAAAATCCCTGAGAACTGTCCAAAGGACATACATCAAGCCATGATCTTTTTATTCATTGGGGTCTTTATTCATTATAAGAATTAATGACTAAATATTTGTTCAATTTCTTACATATACCCAGGATGAAAAAGAAATTCTCTAAATCCTGTACTGTTTTTCCATTTGATATCTTGTGTAAATTTTTTTTTTGGCTTTTCTCCAGTACCAGAAACCGAACTCACGACCTTGCGCTTGCCAGGCAGGTGCTTTGCCGCTGAGCTAAATCCCCAGCCCCTCTTGTGTAAATTTTTTCATCAGAATCCAAAAACAACTTTTCACAATAAATTAACTGGAAGATTTGTGGTTTTGAGAGCAGTGGAATGTTGATAAATGATATCTGTTATATCAACAGATATAACATCTAAGTCATTTTTAAAAAATAATTTTGAGACTTTTTTAAAACATGAACTATTTAAGTCATTTTTTTGTTTTTGTTTTTTTCTTGTACCAGGAATCAAACTCACGACCTTGTGCTTGCCAGGCAGGTGCTGTGTCACTGAGCTAAATCCCCAGCCCCTAAATGAACAACTTTAATAATATTGTCAACATTTCCTAACATCATCCGAGTTTTCCCTCATGGGTCTTGTCAGTGCACACAGTACTTGTTTGTTCATGCTGGAGAATGCTATGAATCCAATTTCTTAGTACAAAGACTGGAGATTCTGACCCTTTCCACCCCTGCCCTTGCAGACCAGAGCACACACTGGACATGGCCTCTCAGACCCACATGCGAGCCCCAGTGTGCCTCACTGAGAACACTAAAGGGCAGCTGGAGGTGAATCAGGAAGCTCTGAGGATCCTGTCTGCCGTCACCCAGCCCGTTGTAGTGGTTGCCATCGTAGGCCTCTACCACACAGGCAAATCCTACCTGATGAACAAGCTGGCTGGAAAGAAAGAGGGTGAGTGCCGCCAGCAAGAATCTGCTGAGCCCTCTGTCCACCCACACTGCCAGCATCCTGCATGTGAGCTGAACAGGGCCAGGTAGAGCCAGAGAGGAATACTGCAAGCTAATCTTCCACTCGCAGGTGGACTTTTCATCTGTTATCCCCTTTCTCTAGGATAAAAGTCAGATCACAGCAATCCCCACCCACTATGCCCCCAGTTCCTTTTAGAATCATAATCCTTTTCTAGAAGAAGGAAGGCAGTAATATGAGTAATTAATTAAATGTTTATGTAGTAAGTGCAGGTTTTCATGGACTTTAAGGTTAAAAAAAGCTTTGGGGCTGGGCTTTAGCTCAGTGGCAGAATGCTTGCCTTGTATGCTTTGAAACCTTAGGTTCAGTCCCCAGCACCACCACTAGCAAAAAAAAAAAAAAAAAAAAATGTATTCCACATTCTTTTTTATTATTTAAAATATACATAATTTACAACTTTTAAATCTTTTAAATGTGCACTTCTACATCATTAAGTAAATTTACATTTTTCTGTAGGCATCACCTCCATCCATCTCTAAAATGATTTCATGTCCAAAAATCTCCGCATCCATTAAACAACTCCCTGTACACCCCCCCACCACCACCACTCCACACTCTCTCTACATATTTGACTGTTCTATGAACAGCATATAAGTGCGATCATACAAGAATTGTCTTTTCATGACCTAACATCATGTCTTCAAGGTTCATCAATGTTGTTTCATGTGTCAAAATGTCCTTTGTTTTTAAAGCTCAGTAAGTGTGTATCAGTTTGTTTATCTACTCATACATACAAGCATAGGTGGCTTTCTTTCACCTTGTGGCCATTAGGAATAATGCTGATATACACATAGGTATGAAAATACCAGTTCAAGTCTGTGCTTTAAATTTTTCAAGGGGTGGGGGTCTGCCCAGGGGTGGTATTGCTGGCTCAAATGGTAATTCTATTTATTTTTTGAGGAATCACTACTTCATTTTTCTGATTGCCTGCATCATTTTATGTTCCCACCAAAAATGTACAAATGTTCTAATTTCTCCACATTCTGCAAATATTTGTTATTTTTTGTTTGGTTTTCTTTGTTCATTTTTTTAGAGTGGTGGTTCTACTGTGGATGACATGGTATCTTATGGTTTCCATTTACATTTCCTTCACTGACTATTAGTTTTCAGCATCTTTGCATGGGCATGGTTACTGAAAAATCATTTGGCCAACCATAAAAGCTAAATCCTGGGCTCTTTCTGCTATTTTATTATTCTGTATGTCAGTCTTCATGTGGGTTCCACACTGTTTTGATTACCAGTTTTGCGCTATGAGAATACTAAAAGTGGGACTCCTCCAAATTTGTACTTCCTTTTAAAGATTTGATTTTGTACTACTTTGTAGTGTCTAGACATGTTGTATAAAAATTAGGTTAAATTTTTCCTACAAGACAGGCATTGGGACTTCTGATAAAGATTCATTAAATCCATGTATCACTTTGGATAGTAATGACATATTAAGAATATTAAATCAGAGCTGGGCAAGGTGACTCCTGTAATCTCAGCACTTAGAAGACTGCTGTGAGTTCAAGGCCAGCCTGGGCTACAAAGTGAATACAAGGCCAGCCTGAATGATACAGTGAGACCCTGTCTCAAAAAATAATAAATATATTACATATTATATATTCTGTATATTCTATATATATTCTATGTATACATATATTTTTTTCTTCCTTTATTTTAACATAGGATTTTTTTCAAATTATTTGTTTCTTCTTCAGTTTGTCCCACAATGATCTGTACTTTTCAGTATTTAACTCTTAAGACTATAATTGGGGTTCTTTATCCCCAAGGAGTTTATTCTTTTGATGCACTTATAAGTAGGGTTGTTTTCTTAATTTCCTACTCAAACTGCTCACTTGTAGTGTATAGAAATGCAAATGACATCTGCATGTTGATGTATATGCAGTAACATAGCTGAATTCATTTATTAGGATTAACAGGATTTGGATAATTAATGTTTTTCATATCTGAGACCACATCATCTGTTCACAGAGATAATTTTATTCTTTCAAAATGTTGGTGGTTTCTACTTCTTTTTCTTGCTTTTTTTAGACAGATCTAGAACAATGTTAAACACAAATAGCCAAAGTAGACATAATTTTTTTGTGTCTGATCTTAGAGGAAAAGAGTTCAGTCTTTTGCCATTGAATATAACAATGGCTGAGAATTTCATATCTGAACTTCACTGAGTTAATGTAGTTTCCTTCTACTTCTAGTTTGTTGAACTTTGCAGTGTCTAGACATGTTGTACAAACTAGAAACTTCTAGTTTGTTTCCTTCTACTTCTAGTTTCCTTCTACTTCTACTGTTTTGGCAGTACGAGGTATTCAACCCTGCAAGGACTGAGCTGTATCTCCAACCTTTGTGTTTCTCTGTTTATTTGTTTTTGTTTTTGTAGTACTGGGAATTGAACATAGAACCTCATCTTAGAGCAACTTCCTATCACTAAGCTATATCCCTAGGCCTTTTAAAATTTTTGTTTTGAGATAAGGTCTCACTACATGGACCAGGCTGAATTTGAAATGGTGATTCTACTATATCAGCCTTATATAGAACTGGAATCACAGGGGCAAAGCCCCATCACACTGGGCTGATGAATGCTTTCTATTATAAAACTATTGGATTTCTTCCTTCTAATGGGCAATCTATTGTTACAATTTCTGACTGTAACTAGATCAATACTTGCTGTAACTTCAGGGTTCACTCCTAACCTTGATTATGCTGAAGTTTATCTCAGTTTCAGACACACCTGCTATTAAAACTCACACATTGCTTCTCACTGGTGTTTTGCAGGCTTCTCTCTGGGATCCACAGCGCAGGCTCACACCAAAGGAATCTGGATGTGGTGTGTGCCTCATCCCGAGAAGCCAAACCAGACTCTAGTTCTGCTTGACACCGAGGGCCTAGGAGATGTTGAGAAAGTAAGGATGAGAATTCAATTTGGGAGTAGCTCCTTGTCTTTATGTCACCTCTGAAGTATGTAATTTTCACTTAAGTGTTTGTACTTACACATAACATATATTTTCATTTTTGCTTACATGAGACTAAGTTTAGCCAGACATGAGGAAAATTTCTGGCAGAAAAGCAACATGGCCTGTACACAGTAAGCAGTTTACCCACATGCAAAACAAAAGCACAAAAATAAACTCAGTGCCAAAGGTCTTATCCTGCAGAGAACTTTAGTTAAGGGTTTATGTTTTGAAGCCTAATGACTTTCGTTTAAATTAAAACTCTAAGAGCCAGGTGTGGTGGCACATGCCTGTAATCCCAGCACTCAGGAGGCTGAGGCAGGAGGATTGCTGAGACTTTGAGGCCAGCCTGGGATACAAAGTGAGCTCAAGACCAGCCTGAACTACATATTGAGACCCTGTCTCAAAAAGACCAAAAAAAAAAGAACTCTAGCTGAGTGTGGTGGTGCATACCTGTAATCCCAGCATCCCAGCACTTGAGAGGCTGAAGCAGGAGGATCCCTGGGAGTTTGACTACAAAGTGAGCTCAAGCCCAGCCTGAACTGCACAGTGAGACCCTAGCTGAAAAAAACTCTATTCTTAATTCAACATACTTAATCAAATTATTTGACTTGACTTCAGTTTTCTAACCCGTCAAATAGTTGTAAAAGTTCTATATATGCCTTGTGGAATACTTTTGAATATTTAAAAGGACAGATAGTATTTCAGGTTTATAATAATTTCTATAAACCTGCAAGAGCTATAAACCAATTACATATTTACCGATTTATTTTATGTATGTATGTATGTATTTACTTATTCATTTAAGCAGTACTGGGAATTTAAACACTGAGCACTGTACCACTGACATAGGTCCCTAGCACACTGCCTTTTGCTTTTTTCAACAGCATCTCTATAATTTGCCCAGGCTGGCCTTGAATTTGCAAATCCTCCTGCCTCAGCATCTCACACAGGTGGAATTACAAGCACAGACCATAACACCCAGCTCCAAAGCTAATCACATTTTACTGTAGAAAAAAAAGAGGGAAAATTTTATATTTAAATTTTCTTTATGACCTGAGAATGCCCACAACCTTGACCGTTTTGTCAGTTATTTGCCAATAATCATAAGATCCTGGTGAGAATCAGTGTAAATCAAGCACTAATCAAAAAAATACTTAAAGTTCAAGTAAAACAGACTTTTTTTTTGGATTGGGTTTCTTTCTACATAATTAGTTGAAAAATCTCTCAATGAATGGCACAATTTTACCACTGCTGACCTTTAAACTGACATAAGCATAAAAAGTACTCATGATCCAAATGCGTCCTGGCTTCCAGAGTAACCCCCAGAACGACTCCTAGATCTTTGCCCTGGCGATACTTCTGAGCAGGGCATCATTGATTTGTGTACAACAGCATGGGCATCATTGATAAAGAGGCAATGGATCAACTGCAGTATCCTTTTTGTGGTCCAGAACACCAGGAAAAGCATATGGGCCTATGTTAGTAAACCAGTCACCTGACTCTGGATCCTACAGAAGCGCACTCCAAAACAGAAAACATAAACAGTAACTTGCATACAGGAAAGAGTCACAAATCTACTAAAAGAAATGACACTTCTGTTAAGAACAAAGGCAAATGAAAGTTTGGGAATTTGTTGAATAAATGTGGCATGGGAGGGGTCCTGTTATTTTTCCAGTTTTCCTTAGCCCTCAGCTATGTCACAGAGCTGACGGAGCTGATCAGAGCAAAGTCTTCACCTGGCACAGATGAGGTTGAAGATTCAGCTGATTTTATGAGCTTCTTCCCAAACTTTGTGTGGACACTGAGAGATTTCTGCCTGGAACTGCAGCTGATGGACAAAACGTCTCTGCAGATGCCTACCTGGAGAGTTCCCTGAAGCTAAAGCAAGGTAGCAGGGATGTATAATTGGTGAAAGAAGATAGCAAAACACTAGAAGTTGTTACTTTTTACTTTTTTACTTATACTTTTTTTTGCATTAACAGTCATCTATTGCTGCCACCTAGCTGCTCCCGGAAATTAATGTTTAATGTCTGAATTAATAGACTTCATTTAAAACTTTTCTTTCTTGCTGGAGGAATAGGTTTATTTTTTATCAGTATATGTTTGTTATATGTAATATTTACTTTGGGGAGATTTCTACGTCTATATCCTATCTTGGTCATTTTAGATCTCTTCCCCACACACATGCTCCTTTCAACCCTTGCCTTCATCTCTTTCCCCAGCTCCCAAAAATCTGCCCCCCTATCTCCTATCATCTCTCCTTTATTTTACCCTTTAATTTATTTGTATTTTGGGTTTCTCATATAAGAGAAATTATAAAATATTTAACTTTCTCGTTGTGGCTTTTTTCACTTAACGTTAGAGTCAAGAGCCATCCATTTTCCTGCAAATAACACAAATCCATTCTTCTTTATGGCTGAATAACACTCTATTGTTATACAGACCACATTTTCTTTCCCCATTCCTCTATAGGTGGTCATATCAGCTATGCCTCTTCTAGGTGTATTCCTGAAAGAGTTAAAGTCATCAGACTACAATGATATGTGCATATTCATGTTTTTAGCAGAACATAGCTAAACTGTGGAAAAAACCTAGATGGTCATCAGCAGATAAAGAACATATATCTTTCTTTCTTTTTTTCTTTCTTTTTTCTCTTTTTTGAGACAGGGTCTCATTATGTTGTTCAGGCTGGCCTTGAACTTGCTTATGTAGCCCAGGCTGGCCTTAAACTCACAGCAATCTTCCTGCTTCAGCCTCCCAGTATTGGGATTACAGACATGTGCCACTATGCTCAGCCAAGAACATGTTTCTGTTTCCTTTCACCTTTCCTTTTACCATGATTGGGCCAGCTTTACAAACTTGTTTAAGATATGTGACTCTGTATTTAATCAAAGACTATGAAATATATAGTATATTTGAAGGAAATAAAATTAAAGCATGAACAGTGAGCTCTGTGTGGTGGTGCAATCTGTAATCCTAGCACTCAGAAGGCTGAGGCAGGAGGCTTGCCACAGTTCAAGGCCAGCCTGGACTACATAGAAAGACCCTGTTTCAGAAAAAGAAAAAAAGCACAAACAGCCTTCTAGTCCAAGTGTTGGAAAAGTACAGCCAACAGACAAAGGATAGCCAATGCCTCCTGCTAAAATAAATGCTATTAATATCATTTTTAGAATTTTGATGTGCATATCTTGTACTCTGATTAACTACTTTAAAGATAACAATATTCAGTCTATTAACTATTATTATTCTCTTATTATTTTGTTATGAAATTTTGTTTTACTTTTTTCCATAAAATAACAAAATAATAAAAATAAAATAAATGCTATTAGAACAATGCTGTAACTTTTTTTTTTTTTTTTTTTGTCTTTTTGAGACAGGGTCTTGCTATGCAGTTCAGGCTGACCTTGAGCTCACTTTGTAGCCCAGGCTGGTCTCGAACTCGCAATGATCCTCCTGCCTCAGCTTCCCACGGGCTGGGATTACAGCCATGCGCCACCATGCCCAGTTTAGCACTGCTATAACCGTTGATCTACTTATTGTCTGCATATTCTGTCATTCTACAGGAACTGAACTGAGTGCATAGGAAAGCAGCTACCTGGCCCAAAAAGCTGAAATTATACGCTATTTGACACATTACCAAAATGTTCAAATCCTTACAGTAAGAAAATCTTCCTGCAGGTACCAGTCAAAAAGAGAACAATTTTAACCTGCCCCGACTCTGTATCCGGAAGTTCTTCCCAGAGGAGAAATGTTTTGTCCTCAGTAGGCCCACTCATGGAAAGAAGCTGCACAAACTGGAGACACTGCATGATGATGAGCTGGACTCTGAATTTGTGCAACAAGTTGCAGAATTCTGTTCCTACATCTTCAGCTCTTCCAAGGCCAAAACTCTTCCAGGAAACATTGAGGTCAATGGGCCTCGTAAGTACCCATCCAGCATTTTCTTTCATTGATAAAACAAAGAATAAGAAACAAAACAGCACCGGGCCTGGTGGCTCACACCTGTAATCCCAGAACTTGGGAGACTGAGGCAGGAGGATCACTGTGAATATGAGGCTAGCCTCAGCTACAAAGTGAGTTCAAGGCCAGCCTGAAGTGCATAGCAAAACCCTGTGTCAAAAATACAAAAAAAGAAATAAAACGAACCCAGCCTCAGCTCTGAAGACTGCAAATCTGCTGCTCCTGTTGTGTTAAATTTTAGATGGCACCAACCTTTATAATAGATTTCATTAATCACATTTCTTAATGGAAAAAGATAGGAAAGATCAAAAGTGGAAACAAGTTTTATTTCTGAAAATTGCCTCATTAAACTGGACTTCATTCTGCAATGTGGCAGCCACTAGGCAATTGTGGCTATGCAGATTTAAAGGTAAATTAATCTAAATGAAAGAAAACTAAAACTGGAGATCGCACGGCTGTATTTCCAGGGCTCATATGCCCATGTGGTTAGTCACTATCATGTCAGCCTATGAAGGAAGTTCTCTTGGATTTGTTTAGTCTAATGAACCAAATGGTGGTAACTTTTGATTGGGATTGTGTCCCTTCTTCCATGGATAGTGATTAAAGCTTTACTGTGGACGGGGATGATGAGATATGGTTTCAGTCCTAATGGTACTTGTGATTAAAATGCACACAAACATTTAACAAACAGAAGTCTATGCAATTTAGAACAGGGTTCTCGATCTTTTGCAGGCATACGTGTCACCTGGGGATCCTGCAAAGAGGAAGGTCTAATTCAATAAATTTCATACAGAGGTTGAAATGTTGCTTGTCTAGCAAATTGCAGGGTGAGGCTGGGCACACTGATGCTTTGAGAAAAACATGGTGTCTGATGTGCTGAGTTACACAGAGTAAGAGGCTTTTCTTCTTTCTTGTTATAACATCACCTGCTCTCTCTATGCAGGTCTAGAGAGCCTGGTGCTGACCTACATCAGTGCCATCAGCAGTGGGGATCTGCCCTGCGTGGAGAACGCAGTCCTGGCCTTGGCCCAGAGAGAGAACTCAGCTGCAGTACAGAAGGCTTTGGCCCACTATGACCAGCACATGGGCCAGAAGGTACAGCTGCCCACAGACACACTTCAGGAGCTGCTGGACCTGCACAGGGCCTGTGAGAGGGAGGCCATCAAGGTCTTCATCAAGCATTCTTTCAAAGATGTTGACCATGAATTTCAAAAGGAATTAAAGGTAATCTTTTTTCTTATGTTTCTATGGTTTTGGAACTCTGAAGGCAAAGATCTATGAGGAAATAAGTATTTATATTGACAGAATAAATTATTACTTGATTTCAAAATTGTGACCAGTACCTATGAATAATCATAACAAGCACAAACACTGTTATTAAGGACTCTAAGATTTGAAATAATCTTTCTCATGATTAAGTTCATCATCTCCCCTTTAATGTAATTTAATGCATATGATTAATAATCAGTGCTTCTGATCAAATTATATGCCCAGTGTTGTCAGATGGACTTGATATTGAAGGCAAAAGCAAAGAAATAGGTTTATATTGAGCCAGATTTGTTCCACACGCAATCATAAGCCCAATCCAAAAAAGTGAAAGTTCACATCTAAAGGTGTGTCATAATGCTAGCAATTTGGGCTAGGGGTGTAGCTCAATGGTAGACCCCAGGATATGCCAGGTCCTGTTTAAATCCTCAGTACCACCAAAAAATAAAAAATAAAAATCTAGCAATCTCAGCTCTGAACTTCACCTCCAAGGAGACAGAGACAGCAGTAGAAACAAGGATGAGAGAGGGAAGGATTTGGTCCAGTGGAGGTACCCTGTCAGTTTTTCTAGGAGGTCATAGACTCTTTCAAAAAGCATTTCTAGAAATTCTAATCTAAAGCTAATGTCTTTTCCAATTATTCTTTTTCTACTGTTACATGAAAGGATCAGCTACAAAAGAAGATAGAAGATTTCTATCAACAGAATTTGAAAGCATCTTCAAATCATTGTTCAGCTTTACTTCAGGATATTTTCAGACCCCTAGAAGAAGAGGTGAAACAAGGCATTTATTCTAAACCAGGGGGTTACCGTCTCTTTATTCAGAAGGTACAAAACCTGAAGAAAAAGTACCATGAGGAACCCAGGAAGGGGCTACCGGTAACTAATTTTCTCTGTGCATTCTATCAGGTGCTGAGTGCATATTTTAAACACCAGTGTGACCAAGGTAATTGCTCAGGGATGTGCCTTGCCTTCATGACAGTCACACTTCAAATAACATTTACACGGAGTCTATCACACTAGACATGTCCCAGACACTCATCAGAGTGCACGCAATTAACAATTGCATTATAAGTTACATTATGACAATAACCACAGGATGTTACCGCCAGCCATTAGTACAGCTGGATGTTTTTCCACTGTATGAGACAGAAAACCATGACTGTCCCTTAAAAAAAGTGTTAATTCATCAGATTGAAACAATTTTTAAATGACAACTGGATGCAAGATTTCAAATGACATCATCATCGGTCTGTCTTTCCATCACTCTCACAACCCCACACTTCCCTCCCTTCCTTCCTCCCTCTACTTGCTGCTCTGATCTGCTTTCTCCACAGTGGCTTCCATTCTCCAGCACACTCAACCCATGCAGACCACGGCACCATCAACTCTCACCTTGAAGACCACAAACGACAGAGTCTCTTTTCCCCAGTGAACCTCCGATAAAAAACATTGCCTAGTGGGAGACCTGTCTAGCCAGCCTGGAGCATGTGCCCTTTCTGGTGATGGGAATCTTGGCCACCAGCAATAATAGAGCCAAGAGGAGCAGTTCCTGAAGTGGTGGGAGATAGACAAAAAGAAATCCTCACAGTCACTGCCTACTGTTAACTCCATGTTCTCTGGTCTAAGGCTGAAGAGGTTCTGCAGAAATATTTGCAGTCCAAGTGGGATGTGACTGACGCCATTCTACAGACAGACAAGACTCTCAAACAAAAGAAAAAGGAGATTGAAGGTGAGCAGTGAGTCAAGAGACTAAATGGTCCCAAAAATTCTTAAAAGTCTCAGTATTTTGACTAAGTAAATGTGGGATCCTAAAGCTAGAGCCAGACAAAGAAAGATGTGCCTCAGCTCCCTACAGCACATCTAGGTAAAGCAAATGTTACCATCAGTAACAAGGGAGGAAGACAAAGGAAGCCACATGGTAACACCCCCGACATTTTTCTTCTTTGTATTTCTCTTCAGTGGAACGTGCAAAAGCTGAATCTGCAGAGGCGGCTGCAAAAACGTTGCAGGAAATGCAAAAGAAGACTCAGAAGATGCTGGAGCAGAAAGAGAAGAGTTATGAGGAGCATGTCAAACAGCTGATTGTGAAGATGGAGGAGGAGAGAATCAAGAGGAAGGCAGAGCAGGAATGGATTCTAATTCTTAAGCTTCAGGTATTCCACCGCACCATCCTGAGGTCTGCTTCGTCTCCATTCCCCCGATCACAAAAGTTTAGTGTGGCAAGTAGACCATGAAGCCCCAAAAGGACCTTGCCTGCTACTTGTAGGCCCTTTTGACTCCTGCATATCTGCCTGAGCAGCCCACTGCCCGTGTCTGATCATGAAGTTTTTGTTTGCAATTGTGTTACATTCAGTCTTTTGTGAGTAGTCTATATTTCAATTAACAGAGCTACATGTTAAGATCATAAAATATGTCTTATCTGTATCTCTTGCTTCAAGCTACAGGAAGCGAGAATTATGTCCATATTTCTTAAAAGAAAAATATAGGATCAAAAAGGATTAAGTGACTTGTATGCAGTCATACAGTTGCTAAAATAGCTGAGCTGTCTTCATTCACCACATAGTGGAACTTACAATGATTTTTTTTTAAATCACGCCTGGTATGATCTGAGCTCTAACGGACCTTCACTGGCAGAAAGACCCCTTAACCCTCACATTTTTATAACAGTCACTCCATTTGCTTTCTGGACCTGGACCCAGTTTGCATTGAGTTGTGAGTTAGGTGCAAAATTCAGTATGGTCATTGTGTGATTAATTTTCAAACCTACCTTCTGCCACCCCTCCTAAAAAGACCTGGAGCTCTTAGGTCAAATTTTTTAACCTAAATTTCAGGCACTCTATCAGATTTTGAGGATGGATTGGTAACTTAAGGTCATCATTATTTAGGAAATATAATTAAATCTACATTTTAGCTAAAGGACACACAGAAGAAATAACTACAGAATTCAGCTGCCCAAGAATAGGTATGATGAAAATTAGGGATAGAGAAATTTTCTCTAGGAAATTAAATACCAAATAATCAATGAATATGCAAACTAGACAGAATATAAGATTTAGTCAGAGAAATGGTTGATTAAGTTTCTGTCTTTTTTTTTTTTTTTTTTTTTAGGAACAGGACCAACTGCTAAGGGAGGGATTCCAGAATGAGAGCAAAAAACTTCAGAATGAGATAAACTATCTCAAAGCGGAGATGGAAAGGCAAAAGAAAACATGTGTCATAAGCTAAGGACCTAAAGAAAAGCAAAATAAAAGATTGATAGAAGGAACCAGGGCAATGGGCCTTTTACAAATGGGAAAGGAACCAAGAGATTCAGGGAGGAGAAGAGGGCATGAAAAGATCTAAGGTGCCTCGTGTGTGTGTACCAACTACCCAGGATGTACCTAGTCATTACGTGTCACAAATGTGAATTAAAAAAACAATTAAAATGAGAGAAGGAAAGCTAGGGAGATGGAGGGAAGGAGGAGAGTGGGAAGGGGAAGGGAAGTAAGAAGAATCAAGATATGGTAGGTACACATACCCACTCCCTAAAATGAATGTAAACATGGACTGCAAAGGTATAACAATAAAAATCTTTTTAAAAGTTTTAACGGAAGTATAGACCTTTCTTTCCTATCACCCTTACTCCAGGCATAACTCAAATAATTATAGAAGACAGAGCAAGTGTTACTTTACTTGGTAATAACTAGGTCTTGTATGGCAACACCAAAAATCTTCTAAGGCATGTAGTGTAAAAGGTGAAATCAGCTGGGCTTGTTGGCATATGCTTGTAATCCCAGCACTCAGGAGGCTGAGGCAGGAGGATTGCTGTGAGTTTGAGGCCAGCCTGGACTACATAGTGCATTCCAGGCCAGTCTGAACTACATAGCGAGACTTTGTCTCAAAAAAAAAGTGAAATTACAGCCTGGGGTTGTAGCTGAGTGGAAGAGTACTTGCCTAGCATGTGTGAAGCCGTGGGTTCAACCTCAGGTACCGCAAAAAAAAAAAAAAAAAAAAAAAAAAAAAAAAAAATTCTTAAAAGATTGTAAATTGTGTTAACCTCTGTACCAATTGGGAAGCTATCACTGCTGTCATTCAGGGGTTTCTTCTCCAAGATGACTATCAGTATATAAACGGACACTGAACACAGTCTTAGGTGAAAGTCATGGTACATAGTTAGGCACCAACTGACCAAGTGTACAATGCATTCTAATGTCAGGGACAAACATCCTAGTTTCTTACTGGAGACAATGAACAGTTCGTTATATCAAGGCTTCCCAGTCAATGAGCAATAATGTGATTCTTGAACACTGGAATGGGTAATCCTCACTCACAAGTCTAAAGAGAAACATGCTTCCTTACAGAGATTGACAGTCTCCATGTAATCTTCACAAGGAGATGGATGAAACCACTGTTATGAAAAGGAGTCTGAGTCATAAACAAATGGGCTAATGGACTACATTTTCCTTCCCGTTAAATCCATCCAGATGTAACTTTAAAGAGACACTTTATAACTTTAGAGAGTTAAAAAATATATCACACAGTAACATGATAAAAATTACCAATTGTGAATATGTAGTAGCAATGTACAATTTGCAAAGATAGACTTTTAATGAAGTGGACAATGTGTTAAAAAATACACAGTTGATTTAACAATTTATTTATAATACTAAAGCATAAAATAGTTAAGCAAAATTGAAGTTGGTTCTTCCTTCACATAAATGTAGCTGGTTGGTACAGGGCTGGAATAAGGGCTCCATGATGTCAGGATTTGAGCTCCTCCTCACTCATTCTACTTACTGCTTTATATAACTTCAACTTGCAGATTCCATATAGTGATTCAAGGGCTGTAGCTGTCAAGGTTGCACTCAAGCCAGGCATGGAAACACAGGCCTGCCATCCTAGCACTCTAGGAAGCTGGGGCAGGAGGATTGAAGGTTTGAGACCAGCCTTGGCAACTTAGCAACTTAGGGAGACCCTGTCTCAAAATTAACAATATGTTTAATAAGAGCTGAGGCGTTAGCTCATTGCGAAGGCCCTGGGTTCAATCCTCAGTGTTATGGTTTATACCTAGATGTCCCCCAAGAGTCTCATGTGTTCATAGGTGTGGCTTCTAGAAGGTGATTGGATGATAGGGAAACCACAAAGCATGGGAAGAAGAAAGGCCTGCTACTCCTCCAAGATATCACACAGAAGCTGCACCTACAGCTTCCACTTATATGCCCATTGGACAGAATATGGTCCTCTGGCTGACCTAGTCAAAACAGAGGCTAGAAATATAGTCCTCATGTACCATATCCTTAGCAAAAATTAGTGGTCTGAATTAGTCAATTTCCCATCCCTGGAACACAATAACCAACACTCACAACTTCAAGGCTAAATTTAGCTCACAGTTTCAGGGAATTCAGTCCATGGTCTCATAGTTCCAAGGCAGGAACTTCATGCTGGAAGGGCATCACCAGGCAAAGCTGCTTAGTTCATGGTCCAGGAAACACAGCAGAGCAGAGGTGTTAGGGAGGAACAGGGTGAGGACCATATATATATATAGGACCCAAGACCACTCGTCATGACCCACCAAGATACACCCACAAGTATGTTCTACTAAACCCCTGGGAATCTCCTTCTTGAGTCAAGTTGACATATGATGAAGAACAGTGATGGGGCTGCATTCCTTCTTCAGAGAGGAAAGGAATACTAACGAGCAACCAGCAGCTCATCCTAATCATTCTCTTTTCCTCTTCCTTAAGGAATGTTTCTAGACTTACTAAAAACTGAGCACTGTTAATTGTAGAGCTGGGATAAGCAACTTGGCTTTTAAACTACACTTCAATCCATCAGTTAACTAAATAAATAAACTATACTTACTGCCTTCTGTGTTCTATGTTTCAGGATGTATTCTGCCCCAGGTTGTGTTCAGTCTGTGGCTGGCCTGGTTCGTTGTTGTTGATATTTTCTGTCTCTCTTTCTTTGGCCTCTTTTTGGGTTTGTTTTAATGAAAAATGTTTAAAATGAAGGAAGTTGTGTCACTTAAGGCAAGGAGGTAGGCCACAAGTTGGACACATCTGTATGATAAGTTGGAAAAGGATTTATCTACATGAGGAACACATTGGGTTGTTTTTTTTATTATTATTCAGAAAACAAGAAGCAGGGACAAAGGTAGTATACCTATTAGCTAGTACTTTCAGAGAGCTGCTTATAGTCCACTGCCCACCCTCGGGGCTTTTTCAACTGTTGCTTTCTCTTTCATCATTCTCTTCTGGGTTCAGATCGCTGTCCTCAAAAGAGCATTTCCCTGCCCTGAGCACAAACACACAATCTCCGCTATCCCCACCCATCCTTGCTTCTTTCCTTGCACTCACCCTCACAGAGTGGGGGATGACGCTCTGTGGACGGGGGCAGAGTGTATGTCTAGCATGGCAAAGTTTCCGGGTGCCTTTTGCAGAAACCCAAAATTAGATATACAAGAAGGAAAGAAAGCTTGAGAAGGAAATTAGGAAGGCAGGGTGGAAGACAGGAAGAAGGGAGCGAGGGCTTATCACTCACCCTCTGAAGTCATTTTCCATATTTTCCTGTTTATTCCTTCTCTTTCTCCCTTCAGGAATGTAAGATTTAAAATACTTTCAGCAGAGCACAGTGCCTCAGTATGCATGTACTCCATTCAGGTTTGTTTTTGCTGTTGGTCTGTTTAGTTTTTTGAGGCAGGGTCTCACTATGTCACCCCGTGTGGCCTTGAACTCTCGATGCTCCTGCCGAGCTTCTGTATTAGCCACTTTCCATCTCTGGAACATAACACCCAGCACCCGCAACTGAAAGGGAGAAAGGTTTATTTGGTTCACATTTTCCAGTAGGTTCCAGCCAAAATTGGCTGGTTCCAAAGCAGAAATGGAATGGTGGAAAGCACTGGCTGAGAACGCCTGTTCATCCATCCTGTGGCACCCAGGAAGCCAGCTGAGAAGAGGGTAAGGACGCAGCCTCCTAGGTCACGCTCCGAGACCCGACTCCAGCCAGGACCCACCTCCTAACAGCACTTTTGGCTACTGCACTCAGCAATGGAAGAGCCCACTGATGAGTGTAGCATCCCCCAGGATCAATCATCTCTGAACCGTGACAGCTTCCCAAGTACTTGGGATCACAAGACTGTACCACCATGACTAGCTCTCAGTGAGTGTAAGGCAAGATAAAGAAAAGCAACCCCTAGCATTAGGAACTGAACAGAACACTTAACCTTATGTTAAGAACTGGCCATAAAAGTTTCTGTTAAAACTTTTCACAACTAGACCCGGGCTCGGTGTACGCCTGTAATCCCAGCACTCGGGAGGCTGAGGCAGGAGGATCGTTCAGAGTTTGAGACCAGCCTGGGCTATAAAGTGAGCTCAAGGCCAGCCTGAACTGCATACCAAGACCCTGTCTCAGAAAGACAAAAAAAAAAAAAAAAAAAATTCTCAATCAGATCCGCTCTGTGGTTCATGACTGTAACCCCAGCTACTGAAGAGATTGAGGCAGAATAATGGCAAGTTCAAGGCCAGCCTGGGCAATTTAGGAAGAACATGTTTCAAAATAAAATTTCAAAAGGGCTGGGGATTTATCTCAGTGCTCCCTGGTTTCAATCTCCAGTATCACAAAAATAAAATAAAACAGAGCAGTGTCGAAGTCATTCTTGATCGTGATGAAGTGACAATGTCATTTAATCATCTTGCAGAAAGACAAAAAAGGGCACCGGGCCAACTACAGTACGTTCCTTCAAAACTTGGCTTTGCTCCTTCCTCTAGGTCTGAATAACAGTGCTAATGCTGCTCTCACTCCCGTTATCCTCTCGCCTCCTTAAAATACAAGTGAATCTAAACACTGAAACTCGACTCTTACCGCCTTTCACTAACGCCGCCCTCCCCATAGCACTGAAGCTCGGTGTTCCTTTTTCTCCATTTTCCGTCCTTACTGTTAAAGTATTACAAATCTTCCTCCTTCAGCCTCGCATCCCGCTTTCATTCTCAGTTCTTTGATCAAACTCACTTCACTCTTCAGGGAGGGAAAATTCCAGTCCGCTTTTTCTCCCCGCTCTGTCCGGCTCCTAAATTATTCCAACCTGAACCCACGCTTTGTCCAAACTCGGGACAGGAGAGCGCATCCGCCTTTCTAATCTAGCCCTACTAGAGTAACCCACCCCATGAGTCTCACACACCCAATCCGAGCCTCGGGCCTGAATTCCATAGCCAATAGTCATCCAGCTCCACGTCCACGCCCCCCTCCCACCCCCATCTCAGGTTCTAAACCTCCACCCTCTTCTCCATATTTGCAAAGGCTCTGTGCGGCCAATCCGTGCCTTTAGCCCAGCCCCCATAGCCAATCCCCGGCCACATCCAGGCCCGCCTCCTTACTCCCTGCGTCCGTCACGCCCACTACGGTCAGCCGGCGGTATCCAATCCGCTAACCCTACCCAACCTCCCAGCCATTCAGCATCTATAATTCAGAGTCAATCTCGTCCAGGCTACGCCCCCAGGACCAAACCGTCAGCCCCAAAGCCGAGAGGGACTGGAACCCGTGGAAGCCAGGTGAGTGTGCGCGGGACTCTGCGCCTCCGGGTGCAGGGGGATTGTGGCCCCGGCGTGTGGAGTGTGCGGGGATTGCGGGATGAAGCGAGAGACGAAGGCTTCCGAAGCTCGTGAGAGGCTGGAAAAGGCCGGATCCGCACGTGTATCTGACTCGGCCTAGCAGTCCCGAGCTGAGACACCAGCTGGCAGATGCACCTCGGGGCCTGAAACCTGGCGGAGCTGGAGGGCGAGTGCAGAGGATCCCACCGGCCTCCCGGGACGCAGTCCTTGTACCGCAGACTGTCTTGCCCGTCTGCCCTTGATTTTGCAGTTTACGTGTTTAGAAAGCAACCTGTGAAAAGATCGCTGGCTCCAGTTCATTTCTTAGCTGAGCTCTGAATTTTGCAAAAGGAAGTAAAAGGGCTGCTGACCCGCCATGTGAGTGAATCTTAGTGGAATGCAAAGTTTGTAAAAGAGAAAAGCAGGACAACTGGGCTTCTGAGAAGACCTAGAGCCACACAGAAATCCCTCGTCCCACGCGTGGACTTCTCCGCCGGGCCTGGCCGGAGAAGCGGGCAGCTCGCCCACTGCCACCCCACGCAGCCGCTGCAGACCAACCGTTACACAATGTTACCTGTGTGCTAACTAGTAGCCACACTTTTCCCTTTGGAAAAAGGTGTAATTACAAGAGTCCATTTTCCCAGAGCGAGGGCTGCAGGCGTAGGAGATGTGGCTTAGCAGTAGAGCGCTTACCGCCTGGGGTCAAGGTCCAGCGCCGTCGGGGGTGGGTACAGTTTTACACAGCGGTTTTCCAGCAATTTCTGGTTGATACCCTTTAATCTTATGCTAACTTTGGCTAATTTTTTTCTTGTTCTTCTGCTCTGGTGACATGACTTTGAAGTTTACCCTTCCAGCTGTACTTTCCCCAATCAGCACCGCGTTCTTCTCCTAGGTGCCCTCCGTTGTAATCAGTGAACCTGATAAGCATTCTGGGAGTGAACTAACAGGTAAAGCAAGAAGGAAAAATCATCTGCTTGGCCAGACCTTTCTGACAGTCTGAGCCGTGCACTAGCGCTCGCCCTCTTTGCAGCTGCCTCTGTTAACCGTCCTTGTGCTTGCAGTTAACCGGCTTGTTCTTGACTTGGGCAAATTAACTAAATCTCTCCCTGCCTACCCCATATGCATATGCAAAATGTGTGTAACTTGATCATTTGAAAGCAAGTCCACAGGGTTAATCTTTGAATTTTTTACATTTAAAAAAGTCATTTTGACTTCTTTCTCTGTCTTTGAGTTTTGGATTCTGCTCCCAACAATTCACCAGCTTGCCCAGCTTCAGGTCACCCCAAAATCTGCCAAGCACACCTTCTGAATGTTTATCGTAAAGAGTCTCCTCCAGTGGTGGGCAAACTGGCAGCTCAGCTTAATTTTCTGTCGATCATGTGCATTTGAACATGGAGTTTATGTACCACTAACTATGCCATGATTAGGTTGACTGGAACACTCCAGTGCACATTTGCCTCGTTGTCTTAAAGAAGCATCATTTCAGGCAGAAATTAGAAAAAAAAATGCAGGGGCTGGGGATTTAGCTCAGCGGCAAAGCGCCTGCCTGGCAAGCGCAAGGTCGTGAGTTCGGTTCCCGGTACCGAAGGAAAAAAAAAAAAGAAAGAAAAACATGCAGTGAAAATACAACTCAGAATTAAAAGCCAGATAGATACCTTTTGATTTTTTAATGATATCCAAATTTATAGATTTATTTAGTTCATTGGTAAATATATATGTATATTATATATACATGCAGTGTTAACTGCAGTAGAAAATACTGTTTAAAGCATATTTATTTAAAGTGAAGAAGAAAAAGCTTGCTTCAGAGGTTCTGAATCTATAATTGAGTGGTGTGGATTTGGCCCCTGGTGAGGGCAAAGCTAATAAACACGACCAGAGGAGAGAAGTGAAGGAAGGCTTCTTACTTTCAGGAAGGGACACACTGGAGTTCGCTCTCAGAGCAGTGGCTCCCCAAAGAAAGCACAGCAAGAGGCTTTTATCGGGGGCATTTAGGCATTAGTATAGAAAAGGTTCTACCTGACCTGTCCAGGCAGGCACATTCATGAGCATTATGAGACAAAGGGAATACTTCTGGGTTGGGAATTCAGTATTATGAGCAGTTTGCTCGAGGTCACCTAAAAAGTGAATCAATAACTCAAAGATGTTGCTGTTACTTGGAATTTTTTCTGGAGGACTTTATTTCAGACAGACAAATGAAATACCTCTGAAGAAGCATTAACAGTCCAAGGTGCACCAGCTTTTCTCCTCTCACTGCTAAAAGAATTTGCAAACACCTAAAAAAATCTGTTTAATCAGTCTGCTTAGAGTTGTTTTTTCTTTGGGTGGGCTTTTTTTTTTTTTTTTTTGCTTTTATTTGTGATACTGGAGATTGAACCCAGGGCCTTCACACTGACCTGCATCCCCAGCCCTTTTTAATTTTTTATATTGAGACAGGGTCTCACTAACTCACCGGGCTGGGCTCAAACTCACCATCTACTGGAGCGCTGAGATTGCAGGCATGCACCACCATACCCTGCTTGCTTGCTTAGATTTCTTAAGGCAGCGTTCCTTCCACAAGATTCCCTGCTGAGGGAGTGAGTGACACAGAAGAAGAGCCTGGGTCTGGGCTTGAAGAATTCCGTCATTCAATGGTGGATGGGAGAAAGGCAGGAGGAAAATGAGGGCTGTAATTAAAGTCAAAGCCAGGGGAATAAGGTGTGTTGGGAGAAGTCAAGGCTGGGTCAGCAATATTTAAAGCTTTATGAATGTCAAAACTGACTTTACCAGCAAACTTCCTCTGGGAAGCAGTGGGTACAAAAATAGACTCCACCAGCTTGAGCAAAAGGAGACAGCTAGTAAAAGGAGTCACAGTACAAGGAAAAGAAACTCTGATGTCTTTTTTGTTATCGTGGGATCAAACCAGTGTGGCGTAACGGCGGGGTACAAGGTGTGATTATAAGAAACAGGCACTGAAGCCAAATGGACAAAAGCAGTGGATGAGGGAGAAACCGGTGTTGGATGGGTCCTGGCTGAAGGCGGTACCATGGCCTAGGGTGATCTCGGTACTTGGGGTTGAGAAGAAAACTTCCCTAAGAACTCCTTAATGCCTGACAGGGAATCAGCAGGATATAGACGGATGGGGCAGACAAGAGAAGTTACAGTCGGGCCGTAGCAGGAAGGAGTTTACCCATAACTATGGCAACTGTAGGTAGTAATAATGTAAACTTGCAAATTGCCAAGAGAGCTGATTTCAGATATTTTTGCCACAAATAACTGACAAGTATTTGAGATAATGTTAAAAGAAAAAATATGGAGCATAGGAAAACAAAAGCCAACGCCGAGAAAGACAAAAGTGGCATTATCAGAGCAAATGGGAGCTGAGCTCAGGTAGGAGGCAGAAGGAACTCTGAAAACAAAGATCAGATGGAATTGCCGGGTTATGGCAATTCCTATACCAAAGGATACAGTGTTCCTATCCCAGAGGATACAGTGGAATCTTAGGGGAGCGAATGCACAAAGAGTCAGGTGGGTTGCTAGGAAGCGGGTGCGTTTTGGAGGTGAAGTGCTGTCCAGGAGGGGGCTGAACTTAGCTTAGGCAATGAGCAACTTCCCTGGTAACTCGCTGAGAAGATGAACACTGAGGCCTGGTGGCCGCACGGCTCTCCGAGAGCGGGGTGACACCTCCCTGAAACTGCAGTCTCAGCTCACGTGTGTCTGGCCAGTGACTCAGCAGCGGTAGAGATTATCTTTGAGCCGGGGATTCACTGACCCAGCACCAAGTACAGGAAGTTAGTGAAAGTTTTTTTTTAACCTATCGAGACTAGAAACCAGACCTCCTGACTCATCCTTTTTCTCTCTAGTTTATCTCAAGGGAAAAGCTATTTCTTTCATTTGTCTACTTGTAAGAAAGGACTTTTCTTATACTGTGTTTAAATCATGCTGAACGTAAGTGGGCAAAAGGAGTAACTATTTGCTTTACAAGAAGTGACTCTCTCACAAAAGGATTCTTCTTAAATATAGCCCACTTAAAATGTTTCAGTGTGATTTTAGGTGTGCATTTAGTCCTTCAACACTTATGCATCTGAGTACATACTATGGGCCAGAGAAACTTAATACACAAGGTTCCTCCGGTTAGAATTTATGTTATACATTAACCAATGAGCAACCAGCCAAGTAAATAAACAAACCAAAAAAAATGCTCTGCAAGGATGAGGGGTTCTGTAATCCCAGAACTCCCGAAGATCACACGTTCCATGTCATGGGATCATGTTGCGTTTCACCCTGGACTATATAGTAAAACTCTGTTGGGAGAAAAAAGAAAAAGAATGCTTAACAGAGACTTAATAATAGGTTGGTGTCATCTAGAATAGTTGAGAGGCTGTTATAGCTTCCATGACCAGGGCAGGACTTTTCAGGAGCAGTTGTTTAGGCAGAGATTTTATGGATAAAATCAGCACGTTGCTGAGTGTGGTGGCGCATGCCTGTAATCCCAGAACTCTAATCCCAGAACTCGGGAGGCTGAGGCAGGGAGATCGCTGTGAGCTCAAAAGCAACCTAGACTACAAAGTGAGTTCAAGGCCAGTCTGAACTATATAGTGAAACCCTGTCTCAAAAAAAGAAAAGAAAAAGAAAGAACCATCCTCTGAATTATTTTTCACAGCTAAATTTTCCTGCAGTCTTCACATTTTGACAATGTAGGAGGTTCATAGGTACTAGACTAGCATCAGTGATTCCTTTGAGTCCATTGAGTATATTTCCTGTCTAAGATTTGGTTCTAACTGTTAGAGAGAGAGGTAATATCTGTATGTATTGGAACAGCAGCCTTTCATACCTGAGAGAACAACATTCACAGCATAAAACCATAACTGAAATTTCTCTTTGCCTGAATGTTTTTAGAAAGCTGGGTTTTTATCATGCTCTTTATTTTATTTATTTAATTTTTTTTTTGAGACAGGTCTCGCTATGTAGTTCAGGCTGCCCTTGAAATCACAGTGATCATCCTGCCTCAGCCTCCCCAAGTGCTGGGGTTATATGTGTATACCACCACGCCCAGGTTAGAAGTGCTTTTTGTTAAGATTGACACAACTGACTCCATTTTGACTCTGATAATTTATACATTTCTTTCACACTAAATTTATATAAGAAGTACTAAGTTTGTTATAATGAATATAGATTGCATCATAAAAAGAATATTGTTGTCTGATAGTGATACAATGGTTGTATATTTACTCCCTGTCCTGGTTTTTCTTCTCTCCTGTAGCATGTTTTTGGCCCCGAGGAGACTCTGCTCCCTTGGTAATGGAGCAAAATTTCTAAAGACAATTCCTTCTTCAAAACTCCTGGGATGCTCTACTTATGGTGTAGGTATTGCTCATGCCATACAGACAAATAATGGTACATGTTCTGCAGCATCAAAGTAAAGATGTAATTTTTCAGGTACTTTTTATAAGCATGCTTTTAGGGTGAGTGTTTCTGTTGTGAAAGTTGAAGGGGTGTTTCTTTTCTCTTTCTTTTTTTTTTCTAAATTTGAATCAAGGTCTCGCTATGTAGTTCAGGCTGGCCTAGACTCACTATGTAGCCCAGGCTGGCCTCAAACTAGAAGCGATCCTCCTGCCTCAGCCTCCTGAGTGCTGGGATTGCAGGTATGTGCCACCACGCCCAGCTCTTCAAGGTGTTCCTTCCAGAATTGACATCCACTGAGCAGTTGCTTCATGTGTGGGAACCAGACAATTTGATGGTCATTATATATTCAGTATCTCATTTGTATAAAGCCCTTCAATGTATGAGTTGTTATATTCCTACTTTACAAATAAGAGAATGGAGGCGGAGGTAGGTTCAGTAATTTGCCCAAGGTCACAGTGTGAAATGTGTAACCAAAGTACCACAGTCCCCCTGTCTTTAGGCACACTCAAGGGCACCATCTTCCTACTCAAAAAAGGAATATTATAGTGGCTAAAAATATTGGTTCCGTGTCCTGCAGTTTATAGAAAATGCGGCTGGTGGAGGAGCAGGTAAAGTGTTGTCATGGAAAAGCAAACAAATCAAGAGTGTAGGTTGGACCTCAGGGCAGATCCATGACCCAGTTTCCTCTGTAATTACGGGCAGGGAAGGAGGAGGGCCATTGTTCAGGGACTGCTCTGGAAAGACAAGAAAGAGGTCAAGAGCTATAACCACCAAGGGCAACACATGGGCCTGAAGCACTTGCCCTGTCTGCCCCGCTATTGTCAAAGTGCAAGTGTTGCCCAGTTACTGTCAAAGTCCTAAATGGCCCAAGCAGGTCTCAAGCTTGTGATCCTTCTCCTTCAGCCTCTCATAGCTGAGCATATAGGCATGCACCCAGGCCAGGCTGGAGATTAGAAGAAAAAGGCTGAAGACAAGAAGCCAAAGCAGGATGCTCAGTGCAAAGTTACCTGCCCAGGACAGGGGAGGCGAGACGGAACAACAGAAAAATCAGTGATTGGTTAACATTCAGATGGCTTTTTGCGTGAAATAATTTGACAGAGGGAACCTCATCACCATGCCAGTTGAAACTGGCTTGTTTGGGAAATCCATGCTGCCTCTAGTCCTGATTTGTTGGAAGGCCGGTTAACCGCTGATGAAGGAGTTTAGCATGAGTGACTCTGTTTTGATTTTTTTAGCCTTGTCTGTTGAGGGCTTTAATCCAAAACAATGACCTCCTGTAATTTTTATTTAACAATTAAAAAAGGCAAATATGCGTGTCAACTTAGTGTGAGATAATCCCAAAGAATTATTGATTGGGTATGGTAATGATGTTGCAGTTATAGAAGAAAAGGTCAGTCATTTTGAGAGATATATGTCATCTATGTAGAGGTTTAACGAGTTAAATTGTGGTTTAAAATTAAAAAGAAAAGAGAGACAAGCAAGTGAAACGAGAGCTTGAAAATCCCTGAATCTGAATGTATATATCTGAATGTTTTATATGAGGGTGAATCATTTCAAATTGCTATTTTCTTTTCTTTTTCCTTTCTTTTTTCTTTTTTCTCATCCTTTTTGAGACAGGGTTTCATTATGCTGTTCAGGCTGACCTTGAACTCACTTTGTAGCCAGGCTGGCCAGTGAGCCTCCTGCCTCAGCCTCCTAAGTGCTGGGATTATAGGCATGGGCCACCACACCCAGCCAAATTGCCATTTTCATTTTTGTAAGTCAAAAATGGTAGAATATTAACAATTCCATGTTCAACATAATTCTAATTTCTCAACTTTTATGTAGGTATAAGATTTACATTTTCTAGGGTCACAGTCTACCCTTCAAGACCTGCCCCAGGGACCTGCTACCTTCAACTGAGTCCCTGTCCTATAGTCACCCACCTCCCATAGCACCGCAGGCTGGGCTGCATCCCTTGACCTATGACAGTTGAGGGACATTAGAGATTCAAACCATAGCAGGTAGACTACAATTTTCTGTCTTATTTGCTTATTTTACAAAAATATTCACTACTTTTGTAATTTTAAGTAAATGTAATTAGGTTTTATAATTTTAAGTAATGTTTTGAATGCTGAAACAAAAAAAACTGCCATACAGCAAGAAGAGAACACAAGAGCAACCTAGATGAAAGTCATTCTCAGCTGGGCCTGGTGGTGTAAGAGTCCAACAACTGACACTGTTACTTTTTAAATATTTTCAATAGAAATACATGATTCAAAAAGTAAATATAAAGCCGGGCATGGTGATGCATGCCTATAATTCTAGCACTCGGGAGGCTGAGGCAGGAGGGTTGCTGCAAGTCCAAGGCCAGCCTAGGCTACATAGTGAGTTCAGAGGCAGCCTGAATTAGACAGTGAGACCCTGTCCCAAAACAGACCAGCCTGAGCTACATAGTGAGACGCTGTGTCAAAAAACCAACAAAACAAAACAGAAAAAAAAGAAGGGAAGGAGAGAAAGGCGAGGGGGAGGAAAGAATGAAATTGAAAGATAAACTTTGTATTATCCACTGCTGCCAGGAAGTCAGAGAGCCAGGGAAAGTATTGAAAGGTATGGTTGACTGATTGACAGACAGAGGGACAGACAAAGAGGGGAGAAAGCAAGAAAGATTTGCCAAATGAGCTTCGACAAATGCATTGAGGATATTTTGAGGATAAGAAGTGAATAGATTATCAACAGGACAGCAGAAAACTAACTGGACTAAACACTGCAAATCTGAGTGACCGGCCCTTAAATGAAAGAAAGTGTGACAAAGGGGGACACGGTGGTGGGGGATTTGTGTGGGCACTGAAAGGGTCTGTGCCAACTCACTATACTTTTCTGATCAGTTTTGCTGTAAACCTAAAACTGCTCTTAAAAAATACAGTCTAGTGGCCGGGGATATAGCTCAGTGGCACAAGCCCCTGCCTGACAAGCAGAAAGTCCTGAGTTTGATTCCCAGTACCAAAAAAAAGCAATCTAAAATTTTCTAGGGAACTTGTAAAATGTAAATGCTCACCAGAGAAGCATAAAAACAACATCTGTTTCACATGAAGACGATATTTTGTGTGGATTTAGTCCTTCCCAGCACCTCCTTTGCTGCCTTTGGTGTGAAGTGCATTCACTTCTATCTACAGGAATCCTTGCTCCGTCCTGGGTGGACACTAGGTCTTGGGTTCGTACTGTGAGCCAAGAACTGTTTTTCTACTTCTGCATTTGCCTCATTGCATCCCCACAGCACTTGTATGGCACGGACATTCATTCCCTCTTAACCAGTGAGGACACTGACTTAGGAGTCCAATGTCCCTCTTGCTTCATGCTCTGTTAGTTTGCTCTGTTTAATTTGAACGGAAGACCCATCTGATCTGAGAGCTCTCCGCTCTGAAGAACCTTGGAGATTTTTCGCTTTCGGCGTATCTATCTCACAGGGCTCGGAGCTCAGGGGTCTGCGGAGCTGCACAGGCCCCCTGCACAGCCGGGTTTCTGCTGCTGGTCCACATCCCAGCAAAACCAAGCTGTGTCTCAGCCTCAGACCCGCGTTTCTAGTTGTCCTGATTAGCTCGGCCTCACTGTCCAACCCTAATCCAATCGGCAGTGTCTGAGGGTGGGATTGCAGTGTAGACTGCCAAAGGGCCGATCCCCAGGAGTGTACTTTGGGGCAGTCCTCGCTCTTTTTAACATCTTCACTTGGACCCAATTTTTAAAGTCAATAAATCAAAAATTTGGTTCTTGCTTTGCCTAACTCTCCATTTTTCCAGGTGTGCTAGTTATGAGTTTTCATTACCCACACTGTCACTGTCAGAGTTCAGGTTTGGAGAAATCTCTGTTTGCCGTAAGTTTCTCTAAAAATATTTTTAAAAGGTGATTTTCAGAAAAAGGTTAAATCATGACTCATGCAAATATAAATGAACATGTGTTAAAAGTTTGTATTTCTTTACAATGAGGGAACCTCAAAGAAGTTAGGATGGGTTCAAAGGAAAAGTCAAAAACTACACATGTTGATGAAGTAAAGGAATTGAATCACAAGTAAAAGCAGAAGATAGGTTTCCCCACAGGATGGAGGGAAGTCAGTCAAATATCTAGAACCAGAGTTTGTTTGACTGTTTACCTGTTATTTACAAATATGCAAAATAGCTGCAAACAGCCTGCTGCAGTCAGTTCTATAAGGGTGGGCTACAGCCAGTGCATGGTTCTTATAAAATAAAGCAACTAAATGTATGTTGCTTAAGCACTGAGTGAAATAAGCACTCTTCTGAGTTCATTGTAATTAATTTTTCCTTGTATGTCTTCAAATCTTTCTCTATCGTTCATTTCCAATCCTGAGTTTTACCCTCAGTTCATCCACTGCTATGAGAACATTCTGTTATTTTGCTGTGCCATCTAGTGGCAAAAAAAGTTATTTATCTAGCTTTTTAAAGGATAGTCAGACCTTAGAAAACATCTAGAATCTGTGAAACATTGTTGCTAATGTCTGTTTCTTGAGTAGCATTTTGATCAGAGGAAGAAAAGGGGCACAATTTCAGAATACCCTGGCACCTTTTTAAAATCATCTTTATGGAGGTACAATAAACTGCATCCATTTAGAATTGAATTCAGTGGTCATATGCCAGACATGTAGACCACGACATCCCTGCCACGGTCAGCCTGCAGAGCATTTGCCACTAAGGAGTCTTAATGCTTCTACACAGTCCATCCCTCACTCTGCTGATTTGCCCTTTATCACTGTAGATTAGTTGGCACCTTTTTTTGTATTTTATATAAGTGGAATCATGTAATATACTCACATATTCCACACATACAGTGATTTAGAAATTCATCGGTATGGTAGTGTACCAGTAACGCCTTTCCTTACATTGTAGATTACTATCTCTTTATTGCTTTTCTGTTTACCTGTTGATGGACTTTTGGATTGAGTCCAGGTATGAACATTTAATGCACG